GATTTCCTGAGTTCCAGAGTTCCACTCCTTAATCAGCTTATCCACATCTCCTGATGCGTGTTTTTGAAGTTATTCTGCAAGGGTGGTAACATTAAACCAGCTGACATACCTACAAACATGATGATCCCTTTAAGTACAGGATGAGAATATCCCTCGATCGCTAGTATCTCTTCCAAATATTGAGCCTACAAACAAATTAAACAAGTTTAAAACTTCTGCGCTTGGAAATGTCATAAGCCAAGGTTTTGGTTTTCAGAATTTTACCTGATTTGGGTTTTATGGACATCCCGTTCTGTGAGCCATATAAGCAACCCATTGTTAATTAATCCAGTCTTTTGTTTTGAACTTGGCTTCTTTATTTATTCTACTTCGAATAATTTACAATAAATTTAATCAAATATAAAATGAAAAACATTTAGTATAAATCATTTATATTAAATACAACATTCACCAGTTTTATTTTTTTGATATCATTCTAGTGTGTGTGACCTACTAGATTTCAACTAAAGCTGGTAGTGGATAGTTTGAATAATCTAATTAATCTAATTACATAGTTAGAACCATTGTAATTCAACCTTGTAGGTATATCCACAAACCAAATAGTAACATCTAGCAATGACTTTTGGCTACCCAGATTAGTCAAAATATATTTGAATTCATACAACACTATTTAGAACCTTAGTTATAGTTACAATGCAATTCGGTTCCTCTGTCTATTATGTTTCGATCATATATTTTAGAGCATGGAACATTTGTCAAACTCTAAGCATGAATATGATCACCATGGTGTATCTCTTATTCATTGCTTTGGCCAAAGACTTTTGGAGATAGATCGTCAAGGGGCTACTAGCATATCAAACATTCATGATTACCTAGAAGGTAACATATTCCTTGTTGTGCATTCACGTATCTCCATGTTGATGCACATGATCCCGAACCTCACACTATAGAGCTCCACTATTGTTTGAGAGCTTTGCGGTGAGACCAAAGTTTACATTCATTAACATGAGATAACTAGTAATGTCTCAGGTCTAAGAATTAGTTGCATCCATAACTCATAAGTGTTGTATGATTGGCAAGTAGTCAATCTTCCATTCAGTGAACTCGATCTCGTAGACGAGTACCTTTATGTCTATTCTATGTCACTACATGCTTAATCTGTGACTTACTACAGAATACTACATAAATCGGCTTTTGCAGATGTTTGATAGTCCTTTTGATCATCCTATGGCTAGGAACATAATTTAGGATTTAAGATCCATAGGGTACATATATTAGGATTGGAACATCTTTGCAATCCTTCTAAAGTTATTCCTTGGATTCATCCTAGCCAATAACAAACCTTGAATCTTACTACTTGATTGACGGATATTCTCACTTGCCTTTTTTCATCAATTACCCGACATTGATTTGCCTCGAATAACCAATTATGTGTTGCCACATTAATTACTTTTGAGCATATTTCAACACATGAAAGACCTGTTTATATTCATAGCATTGTTAATCCCTAAACCATATGCCACATGCAATAATATTGATATCTATCTTCAACCATTAATACAAGAGTTGAAGAAATTGTGGGAAGATGGCATCACCACCTATGACCAAGGTTCTTAAAAACGCTAGGCACTAGTCCGGCAGTGGGTAGGGGTCTAGTGCCTAGGCGGCCTATGCGAATTTATGTAAATTTATTGTATATCTTGTAAATAAGTGCCTATTTACACTTAAAAAAACTATACTTGTATGGATAATAAAAGAATGATAAAATGCAAAAATAGAAGTAAAAGAATACACAAAGTACATCTATCCAATAAGTTCAATATTTAAAAAATAGTAAGCATATAATTAATTAAAAAAAAGCATACAATTAATTAAAAAAAAGCATAGACTAAATTATTTAACCTTATTGTATTTAGTCCATGAAACTAATAAAAAAAAAGCATACAATTAATTAAAAAAAAAAAAAACCAAACCACCTAGGACAACCTAGCTCCAAACCAATTTTTTTAAATGATTTGCACTAAATCACGGCGGTCCTTCACTGCCTAGACTAATTTTTAGAACACTTCCTATGACGCATTTAGGAAGGGTCATTCACATTGCGAGCTGCTCTCTTGTGGACTATTAATGATTTCCTGACCTATGCAACCTTGTCAGGTTGGAGCACAAAGAAAAAGTTTGCATGTCTTCACTTAACTGTAAGTCTAATTCAACGTATCTGCATTTTGGTAAGAAAACTTTCTATTTGGGACATCATTGATTCCTGCTCATAATCCTTTTGTTTTGTTGTCATTGAAATGCATTCAATTTGTTTGATGAAATGGAGTGTGCACCATCGAAAGGTGCGAAGTGCCTTCGCCTGTTGTCCACACTAAGTACTGGTTTGGTACTGAGATGCTTTTATAAAAAGTGAGTATCAAAAAGAGCTAAGCTTAAAAAGGTGTTTGGTAAACACTTAAAAACAGCTTATTTTCACAATTTTGGGTGAAAAAAGTTGAAAACGTGAAACAACAAAAATGAGCTTATTCTCAAAGCACAACAGAAGCAGATTTTTTTCAAAAACAATAATACCAAACCAGCCCTAAGTGTTGGGTTGGGACTGCTTAACTTTTTTTTTTTTTTTTTTTTAAAATATAAGCAAGAGTGAAAAAAACGCTGAGCTCCAATTTGTGTTTGGTAACTCAAGCAAACCCAGCTTTTTTTTCAAAATCATGGGCATTTAAAGTAGAAAAGCGAAGAAGCGGAAACTTCTAGCGATGACCCTTAGCACGTGAGTTCAGATTAGTGTTGTTGCTAGGGGTCTGAACAGGAGTTGCTTCATCCAACGACTCCTCAAAGCTAGAGACGATGTCTTCAACGGCCTTTATCCGCCTTTCGAGGTCAGCGAGCTTTATCTTTTCCCTCATTCGTGAAGGTTTTCGAAGCTTATCACAGAAGCATTGCAGCAAGCTTTCCCATATTCGATTCATGGTGGGACTACCTTTCATACTAGAGACGTCGTTGTGCTCAGAAGTGATGTAGGTGTAGTAATATTGCTTTGGAATAGCCATTGCAGTGGTAAAGTGATTTGGTCAAGAGGAATATGAGTTCACTCTCAATGAAAGCACCAATTGTTAGAATCAGATTCGCGAACCGCCGTGAATGGTGGAGATGCACAAAACCGTTTACCTGCAAAATAGTAAACAACCGTAACTAGCCAAAGACCTCACCGGGGGGAGGGGTCATAAACTCTCTGACGGTCAAGGTAGTAAGCAATATTATGAAACTCAAGTAGTAGACAAGAGAATAAGTGTACTATAATTACATTACCTGCGATAAACCTAGATGAGGGTATTTATACTAGTCGAGGCAGAGAAATTTTAGGATAGGGAATCCGTCTGAAACCGGGAGAATCCCCGAGGATATATAGGAAATAGGTATTAAATCTTTTTGAGAGTGTGATTACTTGCCGTGCACGCCAATCCTTAGATTGTAAGCACTTCAAGAATATAGGGAGTTTGCTGATTCCTTACTAGATTAGGTTCTCGTGTCTTACGAAACAAGTATGGTCAATCTTAGCGAAGTCGTCAGACTTCGCCCACTGCTCCGAAACAAGATGATGTTGGCATCGTTGGTCTGTTTATTTAGCTCCGCTGGGAAGTTGTTGAGCCCATGATCGGACTTTTGAGGCATTCTATTTTGATCCGCCTTACTTCGGCCTTGAAAAATCATGATCCCACATCTGTAATCATAACTTGACAGTGTTTCATGTGAATGAGGATTTTAGCATAAATGTGTGATTAGGAAGGTTATAGTTTATGTTAACCTTACAACATTGTTAATTCCATGTTGAAGCACTTGTTTGGCAGAAGCTTGTATTGAAGACAGGGTATGAGCACAATCACTGGCCATTAAGTAGTTTTGATCTCTATTCAGAAACGCAATTATAAATATGACATTTGTAGACCATGTGGAAGAATGTTGGATTTAATCCAATATAAATCAACATTTAAATGGTCTACAATGGAATGGAATCAAGATTGAGATTTGAACCCTTATATCAGCCTTCTGAATGTGTGTCTTGAATTAATCCAAATAAGGCTGATTAAATCCTTGATAGACATGTGATTATAATATAGGATTTGGGTCTCCTTTATGGACGGAACCCTAATACCTTAGCCAATATAAATACTAAGGTCTCTACAAATCTTAGATACACATCAAACACTTCCAATACAATAGTTATATGTGACCAGGTGCTTTGAGAAGACTTTAGTGTTGTTACTGTCTTCAACCTCTCATATTCATCTTCCATGAGCGCATGACTACCGCTTCTATCAGGTTAGCCACTCCTTTTTGTGTTTTAATTATATAACCATATAATATAAAGCTAACACTAGCCTCGTCTACCACTAGTACAGCAAACAAAGGATTTGCGTAAATATATAGACCCCGGGTCTTCAATATGCTTAGTGAGGCATTATCTCAAGTTCCAACTACGCAATAAACCCTTTTGGTGAAATGTACATGGAGGTAGTAAACTTGAAATGGAGAAATATCATGGTAACTTCATCAGAATGATAATTCTCCTTTTCAAGTTCATTAATGAGTCAAAATTTCCGCTGTCCTATCTACTTTCCTAGGAGACCTGTTGTTTGCCCTGGTAGTTCCAACTTGTTGGCCTTTTTCTGCTTAGAACACGGGAAATTTTGACACTCACTAACGGAACACAAAGTTTCTAATCAAGGACATGGGATTCTTGCTCTTGAAGTACAAGGTGATGCTGCCGATGTGATTTTTTATGTTCTTAAATAGTGTCACTTGGTATTAGAGCGATGCCGGCCATCAAATTGAGAATAATTTTTTTTTGGTTCTATGTGATGATCCACAGCTAAGTAACAACATACTCGCAATATTATATAAGAACATAATCAATTAGTTATTAAGAGGATAACATTAACAACACACAGAAGGCAAGATAGCATAAAGCTTGTACTAAAACCGCAAGACAATAAAAAAACTCAAACAGAAAGTTGGATCTCCAAAGGTTGGTGGGACGCAGTGGTTGGTGCCACAATCAGTGTTTGAACCAAGGACGAATTTATCACCGCTGATGGCCGAGTGATTTTCACTTTGTAATCACCATGGGAGAGAGAGGACTCAAAGAAACCATTAGCGTCTGTCATGCCAGAAGAAGTTAAGCCAGCCCTCAAACCCCATTCATGTAACAGCTTGTCAACAACATTACCAGTGGCCAAGTTGCGGAAATTGTTATCGGTCAAACACATTCTGTAGCATCCCTGAGGTTTCCAAGCAGACCAAATAATAATTCCTTGAATCTGAGGGTGAGCATGTAGCTCTCTCAAAATTTGTTCCAAGTACAAAGCCTGCCAATATAAACAGAAACGCTAGTCATATTGAAGCACTTCATAAATTTTTTCCCATATAACCATAAACTCCAGTTATATATAAATAGAAACAACTTGGGTTTAGAAAGATCAAACGACATTATTAGTTCAATTTGTATAATCTAACACCTTAAATTGATCAAATTTTACCTGATTGGGATTGCTTTTCACATCTAATTCTGTAATCCAAATGGGCAATCTTGCAGCAGCAAGAGTATCGATTGAAGCTCTTATGTAAGGAAGGTTAGGAGCCATACTAAAATGAGACTCAAGCCCAATCCCTAACCGTGCATTTCTGTTACCCAGAAAAGTTTGTATCTCTCTCAGCTTCTGAAGGTACTTAGCGGGTGTAGATAAACCATCTCTACTGTCCTCAATGGTGTTAAATTCATTCATGAACATGGTGGTTGCTCCATCAGTTCTAATAGCCATGTTATAAAAAAGGGCAGAAGCTTTTGAACCCAAGATATGTTCAAAGAAATTAAAATGTAGATTTTCATTCACCACATCCCATGCTATAACTTGCCCTCTGTATCTATTGATAACAGAGTGAAGCCTCTTGGCAGTGGCGGTAAAAAGTTGCTGCTTAGTGAGTGATTTGACCCAACCGGGGTTGTACTGGGGATCTTCCCAGAACACATTGTGGCCACGGACTGCAACATTGTGTTTTCTCGCAAACTGAAGCATGGCATCAGCCACGGAGTAATATTCATGACCCCAAGAAGGTTCAGTGCTGTACCATTTCATTTCATCTTCAAATGTTGTGACTCTGAACCTTGATGTGAACCAATTTTGGTAGGCAATGTTGGTGAGGATGTTCTTGTTGATAGCACACCCAAAAGGGAAACTTGAAAACTTTTGTTGTATGGAGATTGTTGCGTTTTCTAGTGGATTACCTTGTGCATCAAGTGCTTGAATTCTCACATTTCTCTTACGAATCTAAGATATCATAGTTAATTAGTCTTTAAGTAAACCACTTCGAAGTACAATTCAATCATCAACAAACCCATTCTAGATAAATGGACATGATCAAACTCACTTTGGTAATGCTTTGATCTTGATGAGACTTCCATTGCTTTTCGGTGAATGGTTGTAATGAGATGCTATCAACCCAAATGTCAACAGATGCTATATTGCTCTGCGGAGTACATAAATGTAAATGAATGAAATGTATGACACAAGAACGCACCGCAATTATAACTAAAAGACTACTTGTACGCTCTTGCCTACAAGTATTGAGTATTACCTCAAAATAAAGCTCAGCTGGGCCTGATGAATTGACAGTTAGACCACCTTTGAGCATGGACCAACAATTTGATTTGGCAACAATCGAACCAGCAAATACGAATCCACTATTTGTCTTGAAAACTGCTGTTACTGGTACACTACCGTTACTCACTTGTATCCAAGCTACACTTGCACAAAACAAATATAAAATAAATATTAATTTTTGGAAGGAGTACATGATGACTTTGTTGCAGTATATATAGTTGCCCGTAACTAATTCTGTACCAGAGAATGAATAGAGCTTGTTCCTATGCAAATAAATTTTTTGAGAAATACTGTCATGCGGTTCATATCTGCTATGTGCCACAACGAACTCGTTGCCTTGTGATTCTCTGTGTTGTAGTTTTGCATTGCCAAAAGCAGACCATCCTTTCAAGCCATGTTTTAGTTCCGGGTTTACGACGATGCCTCCACTGTATTGTGGTTTATGAGGCTTTTCCAAACACTGTAGAAAGGGCAAAAGATAAAAATTCAAAAACTTAAATTCGTTGCATTCTAATTCAACTAACAAAACAAGAAATTCCAGTGAAAGCAACTTGCCTCAATACTAGCTGTGTAATCATAAGATAATGCGCTCACTTCATACCCTGCACAACATTTGACTGAGTAATGAATTGTCAAGAACTAGCTAGAAAAGTTAATAGTGATCAATTGTTCGTTCGAGAACTGCGAATAAGCCAACAGTTACAATGATTCATTGTCAATAAAGGTCGGCTATAAGTTTATAACATGATGGCTCTCATGGTGAACTTTGCTTACAAAAGATGGTAAATGATAAACAAACCTGAAAAAAAGGAAGCGCATAACAACAGAAGCAAATTGATTCCTCCCAAAATCGTCATTGTATGTTGTTTGCTTGCTAATTACAAACCTTAGAGTGAGAGAGAAGAACAATACGGTAAGAGAGCATATTATGCTTTGTATTTATACAGAGATGAACGCTGATATTTATACGTAGAATATGGCTAGATTTTAGCAGAAAATAAAAAACATGACACCGATGTGTATAATCATATCCTATCAAGCAATTAAAGATATGAGACCGAGATGTATATATCCCATATCAAGCTTTCAATTATATACCTTGTCTTAATAATTAATTTGACTGAAAAACCCAAAAAAATTATAATTGTTGCAGGATATTTATGTCTGTCTACTAATTGGTGTAACTGTTATAACCGTTAGGCCATTAATTCCTCAAATGAATAAGTCATTCATTCCTCAATTAATTAGACATTTGATTCTTCCTATTTAATTAGGGGTATTTTGTGTAATTTTCCAAGATAGCCTCACATTGTAAAACACTACAAGAAATTCTCGAATAAAATTCTTTCATTCTCTCACAAATTATTTTCCGCTACATCAATAATTAATTTGACTGATATTAAAATTAGAATCAGTTTCAATTCCCAAGTTAATTAGGATCTTTGTTTCTGCAACACACCTTACAGATTTGACAAAAATCATTGTAACTGATTTGGATCCTAAATTTAACTGCCAAGTACCTATGAAGTTATTTCACTTAAAATATGAACTCATCTGGATTCAGGGACCCTAAAAATTTATGGCCCACAATCGATGGTCATGTATTGGCATGAAAAAAAATGGGTATTCATAAATTGATATGACCCTAATTCTATAGATTAATTCATTGTTCTTCCGTTTCTGTTTGTGGGGGATTGTGTATTGTTTGAGAGATGTGATTATGACCGCACGATGAAATTTTTAAGCGGGCCGCTAGATTTTGATGACGATCAAGAGTTGGATTCCTGCCATGCTTTAATTTTTTTTTTTCATTATAGCAAGTTGAATTGAGGATAGGGTATCGAAGTTGAGACTTCTCAGAGTCTAGGAAGTCTTAGGATGTGTAAAAGATTAAATGCTCGTTTGGAAGTGCTTTTAAAATAATTAAAAATGTTTTTGGTCAAATTGATTTTGAGTTCCAAAAATACTATTTAAAATGTTTTTCCAGAATCCACTTAAACTACACATTCAATGTCATTTTAAAAGAACCTTTAAACAAGCCTTAAATGGTTGATTGTGGGATGCTTAGGTCATCTCCAACCGAATGGGCTACGTTTAGACCCCCTCCAGATTATAACCCTACAAGAAATTATTTTTTAATGACCAACGTCAGACCATATCTATTTACAATCTCCAACCGAAGAGAACTATTTTTAGCCCCCTCAATAATTTATTATTTTAAGTTTGTTCTTTAATTTTATTGGTTAATTGAATTAAACTACCAAATTAAAATAAGGTAGATGAAAATGATGTGAGAAATGGCGTAGAAATGACTTAGGTATTTATAGGAAAACAAATTAGAATTTTTAATTTATTTTAAATTTTGGCCTGGTGGGTTCCAAATTTTTTTGGCCTAACCCTCCATTGGAGATGGATTTTGTGTCAAAACAGGTTATATTTTGGCCTATAGCCATTTGACCGGCTCGGTTAGAGATGACATTAAGACCTTCATGCCTTACAAGCTCAAATCAATAGGATGTACAATTACAAACCCTAATGTAAGACCTTATAAGCTTTTTCTATATTTCAACAATTTTCCAAGTGATATTCCTCTTCATTTGGAAGTGAGAGGTTTTATATTCGAATCTCATGGATGATAAATTTGATACCAAATTAGGCTACCCATTATGTGGCTTAGCCGAACTCTCCCTCCCCTTAGTGTTGTGTTAATAATAAAAACCAATAAGTGGATTGTGAGACGAGGGGATGAGTCAAGCGCTAAGACCCGTACCCCCATGGCTAGGGCCTTGAAGTAGCGAGTAGGGTGTGCCGAGGGGACGAGTCAAGCACTAACTGGTCATGGGTGGTATACTATCATTACATCTCAAATAATTTGTTATTTGCTACCTACCCGTAAAAGGTCGGGTCTGCTCTGTAAAACTTAGAGCCAGACTGTGATCTGTTGGTCCTAGAGCCACACTCAACCTTCTCGTACAACAAATCACTTAATACCCTGCTTAATTACAAGCCCACACTATTAGCTAGGCTCAGGAATTACAAATTATAATGTAAGACCTTATAAGTTTTTCTCTGTTTCACTAACTTGCCGATGTGGGAACTAGGTGTCGTGTGAATTTGTAGTATAAGGATTGAGGATAACTTGGTATATGTTATCAGTAAAGAATGATCGCCTCTTGACAAATTTACCAAAACGAAATTGTGGTAAAAACTAAAACAACAGGACAAGTGTGTGGTCTGTAAGTTTATGAGTATGAGTTATGGAAGGAATCAGTTCTTGTGTTTAAGATTGATATGGAAAAGTCTTGGTCAAAAGCCTTAACTTATTTGGTTTCCTTGTGGAATAAGTTTTGTGAGATTCTGAATAATCCTTGTGGGATTAGAACTCGGTAATAGAACATGTTTGGGATTGATATGTTGTATCAATTGTGATGTTTGAATCCTAAGTCTATTCTAATAGGGAATGACAAAAGGAGTGCTATAAAAGCTTATGCCACTGCTCTTGCAATATACGGTTATATAGAGTTCCAAGTCCTATTGTCTGGAAGAACCATTGAGATTTGTAAAAGAGGAGAAGGCAGTAAGCTGTGAAGTCGCAATGGCTTCTTCATCTGGTTCCAATTCTGCAGGTAAGTTCTCGAGCTTTTCTCGTGTTTTTGTTCATCTATTGGTTTAGTGGAGTTGTGATTTAATTGGTTGTATCCATGTTCTTTAGATTGATGAATTGTTAGAGTTTATGCTTACATGTGGTATCAGAGCCTAGGATTCTAACCATTAAGTTCAATTCTTCATGAAAACCATTGAATCTGGGAACGAGTTGCACTGTTTGGGTTTTCGAACTAAGCCTTAGGACTCTTAAGAAATATATGAACTCAAAACGATGTCCTTTTGTTTATAAAAGAGTCGTTGGAAAAGGAATAGTGAAACGGTGTCGTGTTTTTTTTTTTTTTTTTTTTGGTATAATACTTTAAAAAAAAATAAAAAATATTCACCGATTGCAAAATCTGGGTTTTACGCTTTCGATGGTGTTCTTCGAAGTCTGGGTTTTCATCACTCATTCAAATCTTAATTTTGAGTCAATATTGATGCCATGATTCATACGATTCATCAAAAGGTATGAATTATGATCTAATTCGCACCCGAGGTTTCAATTTTTAAATTTGTTTTGCATACTGTCATGCTAAAAGGAAAACTTGAAACTGTTATGTATTTTTCTGATTACCTTGGATGCCGATGCAGTTTTGAGTTGAATGGTTGCATAGATTGTTACAAATTGTTTCCGCTGGTATAACTAATGCGAAATCAACCAAATAAGTTTTGTCTTATTGTTTTATGTTGTACAAATCGGTGCTAACCAATTCTGCATAAGTATGACAAATAGTATTGCAGTTAGAACAATTAATGTTGTTTGTGGATATCATTGCAATTGTTTACTCTCTGTATATCCTTAAATTCAAGGATATGTATATAACTAAATTGATTCAATGGGCTAAAATTTTAGTGGTGAAAAAGATGGAAATCAGGGATCTTTAAAAGGGTTCATAGTTTTGATTTCATTAATCAATTCTGCGGAACCATTGAACAAAGATCATGTTACCTGCATATTGAGATTATATTATCATTATGGCCCTTCATATTGACGTTAACTCATTCATTGTTCTATTATTTCTCTTGTTTTATTGAAATCTGAATGAGAATTGTCTTTTTCAGGGAATTGGTGTCAACGAGATTCTGGCTGATAACTTTGGCGATGATTTTGGATTGGCGCGTCTATAATAATGGCAATTCACTTCAATAATCTACAATGGTACGAGGTCCATGGGAATTTGGAGTGATGGCAATCCACGTGGTTGGGTCTCAAGCATTGATGGATAATTTGTTTCATTTATTTGGAGCCGAGGAATTGCAATCGGGTTGACGAATATGGATCTAATGATGCATTCAGGTAACTTAGTTCATTGTATCATGCATGATTAATTGTTCTCTTATATGCATGATTATAGTGTGATGAGTTTGAGCATGATGAATTAGGGCTTTTGCTATTTCAAGTATGCCTGTATAATTGTATACTGTGAGGGCATGATTAAACTCGAAATCCCTATGGATGCCAACTTGTGATTTATGTGGGATGTCTGAAATCATTTTTTGTTGCATAAACAAGTTAGTGTAACATTTAGTCTATGTATACTCTTTATTTTTCATTAAAGAGACTATGGTTCTGATTAAATTAGTCTTGGTGGAGGATAAAACTTGTTCATATACAACACCTATTGTTCTCTTTTGTTTGTTTGGTTGGGGACATATGATGAATATCAATTGGGATGGAATCATTTTGACTGCACGAGTACTCCATAAATTGGTATTGTCTAAATGAATGTTGGCAAGTATATATGCTTAATGACTAAGTGGTTCTAAATATTAAACTAATGGAATTTGGATGACATTGTTCCTATTTATGATACATAAACTAAATGCATTATTTTTGGTTCGAGTATCATGTAGGGAATTTCTTGCTAATTGAATATGTACATTGAATTTGGGTTTTATTTTGTAATGATCTTATTTTCATTAGTTGACTCAAATTAGATTTTGTGGCGATAATTGATCTTAGCCTTAAAAATTTACTTGTATGATTATATAGGTTAAGCTATGAATTTTGAGAATTAGCTTGTGTCATCCATATACAAGGATGATAAACAAATTAGCTTATGTGAGACGTTGTCTATATTTTTGTACAACACAAATTGACATTGCCGAATGCATATTGATTTAACTTATGAATTCATAAAGAAGCCTGTGCTTATTGTATTGTGAAAATCATGGAGTTTAAGATGCATGCTTATTGTATATGTATATTTGT